GGATGGGGCCAGACCCTTTTCAGTGGTGCCCAGTGACAAGACAAGGGGCAGTGGGCACAAACTGGAACACAGGAGATTCAGTCTCAACATGAGGAAATACTTCCCTGTGAGGGTGACAGAGCACTGGAACAGGCTGCCCAGAGAGGTGGTGGAGTTTCCTTCTCTGGAGATATTCAAAACCTGCTTGGGTGTGTTCCTGTCCCACCTGCTGTAGGTCAACCTGCCTTGCCAGGGGCATTGGACTAGATGATGTCCGAAGGTCCCTTCCAACCCCTAGCATTCTGTGATACTGTCATGCTAATTCTCCACATAGACAGTAGACCAACATGTAAGGCAGGAAGAAAAATTGTTGTGATCCTAATGACCCTTGGATGATCAACCACTTATTTATTGCTATTATGCAAAATCAGTGTTTCTGGGGTTTGGTTTGGGGTGGGTGTTTTTTTTTTTCCCTCTATATCCTGTTGAGTTTGTTTCCAAGACATTAAAAATCTAGTATTTTAACTTGTAAAGAGAAATTTACATTTTTCCATTTTTTATTCTGATGACATTCTTACAAAGTGCATATTGTTACAGCACAGAGAGTTGTGATACCTGGCTGGATAGTCCTCAGTCATAAGAAGAGTATATTCCAACAGTAATAAGAACTGTAATAAGAGTAAACACTATTAAGATCTTAATATTTACAAATACTAAAATGACTGCTCACTTCACTAAATAGTCTAGTGCTTTTTCTGTTTGGTTGAATTATATGAATACCTGAATATGCAAGTATTATGTATATTGGCTGAAGTGCCTGGGGTTTGTATCACCTCCACCTTCAGGGCTGAGCCACATACCGTGCACAGGCTCGGAGGTGCCCGTGTCTCAGCTGGCATGTGAGAGCGAGCAGTACTGGAAGGGCTGCGGCTAGAATTGGCGATGGGATGGTGCTGGTGGGAGCGGCCAGATACCTTGACGGGCCACTGCAGCTCGTGCATTCGGAGAGTGTCTACTGGTGCACCCCTTTTTAATAATTTTATGTTATTATAAAAAAGATGGTTCAGTACAGTGTATCTTTTTCAGAGCTCTTTTTAAGCAGAGCTCAGTATGTGTGATGACATAGAATTGTCTCTGCTTTACCTGACAAGACATTTTGTAGCCACTGAAGAGAGAGAGATTGTTGTGGATAAGCACACTGGGAGGATGGAAGAGGGAAGCAGATGAGAAGAAATATTCATACAGACAATATCTGTTTGCAGTCTTAAAGCAGTAAAAGGCCAAGTATTTTTGCTAAAACAGCCCTAATTTAATTTCTTAATAGTTTGCTGTTTGTCAAATTTATAGCTGGTCTAAAAATAATCTGTAAGGGAAGGGTTGAATCTTAGCAGTCAGCTGATTGCTTTAAATCAAACATGGTCATACATTGCTAGATAAGACTTAATAAATTGTGAGTAGCTATCATTGCTCGAGCATTAGAGATGTGATATCTAAACCTTGTATAAACAAGCAGTTTGTAACAAGGTAGATTTTTGTCCTGAGTCAAACTGAAAAACACAAAGCTTGCATTGCTGTGGTGTGCTGTGGGTACTTCCATTAGTTTTGGGAAAACTCATTTCAAAATAGAGGTGGGAAATACCTTGTGAGAACCACCTGGAGTACTGTGTCCAGATATAGAGCCCTCAACGTAAGAAGGATATCGACCAAAGAGTTGGGGTTGTTCAGCCTGGAGAAGAGAAGGTTTGAGGGGGGACCTTACAGTACCTTCTAGTACCTGAATGGGCCTTCAAGAAAGCTGGGAGAGGACTTTTTACAAGGGCCTGTAGTGACAGGACAAGGGGTAACGGGTTTACATTGAAAACAGGGAGGTTTAGATTAGATATCAGGAAGAAATTCTTCCGGGAGAGGGTGGTGAGGCACTGGAACAGGTTGCCCAGAGAAGCTGTGGATGCCCCATCCCTGGAAGTGTTCAAGGCCAGGCTGGATGAGGCTTTGAGCAACCTGGTCTAGTGGGGGGTGTCCCTGCCCATGGCAGGGGGGTTGGAACTAGATGGTCTTTAAGGTCCCTTCCAACCCAAACCATTCTGTGATTCTCTGAAATACCCCATAATGCCATTTCAGTATCTGTTTTAAAATATGTAAGCTACTGTACAGATGGTTGATGATAATTCTTTTCTGACATCACCCAGTCAGAATGAGATTTTTCAAAATAAAAGGGGTGTAAGTGGGACAAGAATTTAAAATCAGGTCCTTCACATTTCTGTGTGCAATATTATACCACGCAGAACAACTTGATAATCTTTCCAGGGCTTTTTGAGTGTTTCCTGAATGATTTTGTTAAGCTAATTTTCCCTCAATCCTTTTGTGATGCTTTTGGGTGTTCAGTGGCAGTAAGGTCCTCCCTCCGTTCACTTCTCCTCCAAGGCAAATCTGGGAGTTTTTAAGGTATTTCGGAAGCTGGGACATGAGCTGAAGCAGAGTCTGAACAGCTTGAAGCAGACTGGCAGGTTTGGCTGTGCCATGTGACAGTATTTATTAATCGGGAATGGCTATAAATCCGAGTTTTGAAATTGCTGATTCTCAAGGCTTTTTTTGAAGGTAGGTGATGAGGCATGCTGTGGTGGTGTGAAAGGAAACAAAACAAGAGGTTATTGTTTTTGACAAAAACGTGATGGTGGTACTGTTAGAAGTTGCACTTGAGCTACGTAACCCCATTACTCACAGGGCAGACCTGTGCTCCTGTGCTAACATCAGCTCTCCTTCAGCTCAAAGTTCTAACTTCTAAGACTTTTCTTAAAGATTTTAGGGTTCTCACAAACTGCAGAACCAGAAGCCTTTGGGGAGCCTGTATGCTCTCTCTATGGTACTTGGTAATCTGGCTCATGGGCTCTGTGTTTGGGGCTCCTTGTGCATTCCTCAGCAAAGATTTTGGTGCTTGTTGACCTGCTCTTTATATTCCTGCAGCCAGGGTGGTTTGGGTCTTTTTCCCCTCCTATCCCTGGTGTGGTGGATTTTTTTTTTTTCTCCTTTCTTATTTTCAGGTAGTGGGGACAGTACTGTGATGTGATTTCGAAGGGCCTAGCTCTATGCAAGATGGGGGCTTGCATTGTTCATATTAATAAGGCAGAAAAACTCTAGGTCAAAATCTTCAACTGCTGTGAATCAGTCAGCATAAGTATAGCTTGCAAAACATCATGCAGACCTTCCACTGTTTTCTAAGTCACCAGCAGCACATTGAACTGTGCCTGAAAGCTAACAGAGGACTTGGGAAGACCGAGCTGCAGCATGTGTCTGTAGTCATGTATGTAGTGTCACCTGGAATTTCTGTGTGAAGCTGAGGAGTGGGCACATGAAAGCATATGGTGAAGCAGTCTCATGTAGATGTGTGGGGGAAGAAGGGTATGGTGGCAAGTTAAATTACAGTAACCCAAATTAGAAATACCTAGGGTTTGGGTGTTGTGTTTTTTTGTCGATGGGTGTGGTGGTTTGTGTGTGGGGGGTTTTTTTTGTTTGGTTTGTTTTGGTTTTTTGGGTTTTTTTTGTGTGTGTGTGTGTTCTTTCTCTGCTGTAGTTCGTCTGCTGATCTAACCTTCAGATGTGGAGCTAGAGGATAGTAAGAATCTGAGGCTATCTGTTGTTCTTAAAGATTTGGGGGTGCTCTTCTAAAGAGATGCAGCCAATGTATTTCTCCATTAAGACAGGCATTATGTTATCCATTAACATAGACTTTTAAGCTTAGCTTTCATAAACTAAAATCTTGGCAGTATAAAGAACATTTAAATATAATCTTAAGTATTTATTAATAGACGTCTTAAGATGTAATTTTTTAAATTTGGATTGTTTAAAAGCTAGAATCTTCAACAGTGTGAATTCATGTCAGAGAGTCCCTATCTATCTTTTAGATAATCTTTTAATGTTAGTTAATATTTATCATTATGTAAACATAGAATTTTGGCAGAGAGAGTGTGAAGATAAGGAAAGACAATGATTATGATGTAAGAGTAAGAAGAAAAATCATTCAGCACCGAAAAACTACTGTATCAGTACTTTGTCATCTTATCCTCAGATCCTTCCTCTTCTGTTGCCAGCTGCCTGCACAGTCCTTGCACACTTACACTGCAGTCAAAATTTGACTTAAATGCAGTATCATAGTCTATCAGTACCTGCTGTTAACATGGCTCTGCAGTCCCTCTGCTCTTCAGCAAATGTGTACAGCTTTTACCACCCATTTATTTTATTTCTCATGTCTAGAAATCACTGTTTTGAATATATCATATGTCCCTGCATAAGTATGATGTAGGATGTCTAGTTACCATGCAATTTATTAAAATTTCCAGTTCTTAATTATGTTGATTTCCTTATTTCTTAACATACTTTTTCATGTTCTGGTGCAGGTAATAATGTATTGCTGTACCAAACTTGTTACGGGGCGGGAGCTCAAATAGGACCTCTGTTCCTATTTGGTATTTCGACAAATATATAGTACATTGGTTTTGGGTACTGAAAAGACAAATCACCACTGAATTTTGGTTGCAGGTCCCAGGAAAAATGTTCTTCATTTTGTTCATAAAGATAAGGCAGTATGCTGAAAAATTCAGGTTTTCCCATGACTAGTTTTAAACGTTTGATTATGAAAGGTTGAAGAGAGTAAATAAGTCTTCCAGTGATTTAGGTGCTAGAGTAATCGGCAGCATTTATGAGAGATGCCTGACAAATTTAGGGCATGGCTGGACTTTGTGTTTGCATAGCTGTGTGTGCAGACCCATCTAGTGGAGGTACTGCGGAAAATACAGGAAAACATTTTTCCTGATAGCTTTTCTTTCCCAGGTTGTATTAGCTAAACTGATAAAGGTGCCTTTCTGCCAGCAGAAGTTTATGTCTGGATTTCATCAGCATCACCGCAGGAGCTGCAAGGTGCAGCATCTTTCATATTCCTCATTGGTGTACGTGTGCCTATAAAACTTGGTATACTAGGTTAAACCTTAGGCTAGGATAATTGCATCTGGCAGGAATCAGAAATGAACCTGGTTTATACCATTTGCAATGTGAAATAAATTACATTCAGAATGCAAAGTCTGAAATATGTTTTCACATTTATCTTCTTTCTGCAGGAATGAGCTGGAACGCCAGTTTCTTGAGCTGTTGCAGTTCAATATTAATGTTCCCTCCAGTGTTTATGCCAAGTATTATTTTGATTTGCGTTCCCTGGCAGAAGCGAATAACCTGAGTTTTCCTTTAGAGCCCCTCAGCAGGGACAGGGCGTATAAACTTGAGGTAAGACTCTTTCTTTTTAGATTGCTCAGAGTTGAATATATAGGGGGATTTGGAATTTTTGTGTTGTTTCTCCATTCTCCCATCTCTTCCCAAATATTCCCATGAGATACCTTGTGCCCTCATTTTCATAACTATTTTGTTTGTGCTTTGGGTATTCATGGATGTGAGGACAGCTTTTGGTCCAATTTGCTTCATTCCTTGTCTTGCTTTACATTTCTTTTTCAGTGCCAGTTGTCTGAATTGGCCTTGTGGAAGCACCCGCAAGTTTTACAATTACTCTGTTCACAGTCTGGTTTTCTGTGTTCATTTGGCTTCTTGAAACTGATTATCCACCTTAAAAGACAGAATATTAACAAGTATTACTGAAAATAACTACTCCATGTGCTTGTTATCTGCTACTGCTCCACTTCACGTGGATCCAAGTCTGCTCCCGTGGTGTTTTTCTCAGTAACAGGAAAACAGAAATGAGCACACCTCTTTAGTGAATAAATCATGAATGCTTCTGAGGCCTGAATATACCATGTGCAGAAAGCACGATGTCGGATGGTCTGGAGCTGTGAAACGCAGGGCACTATGAATTCCCACGGACACAGGAGGAATTTTAATTCACCAGCCAATTGCAGGCACTTTGCACAACTGGAATCTACTTTTCCTTTTTCTGATAGGAAGTTTTTTGAAATAAGGGCATTATTGCATGAGTGTGTACACATTTTGTTACTAATTTTGAAATTTGTCCTTAGATGCTAACTGCTTTTAACAGCTCACGTCTTAATTATATAACAGCTTTGCACTGGAGCTTGTTTGCCTGTGGGCTAATGTGCTTTGCATGTTCTGAAACTCCTAATGCTGCTGTAAAACAGGCAGGCAGTACTGTACACGTTTCTGTGGGGGAAAATGATGCGTGGGAAGGTTAATTGACTTGTTTGTGACTGTAATGGGAACAGAAAGTGATGGAGAAAGAATCAGAGCAGATTTCGCTTCAGCTGTGTTTCTCATTCTTTCTGAATATTCTCTCTAAATTTCACAGATAGCTCCAGTAAGAATGTAACGTAAATCGGTCCATGGAGTGTGTTGTAAATTTGCAGCAGATTTTATTTCTATTAAAAGAGAATTTTTAAAAATGAAAATTCATTTAGATTGCAATCTTAAATGAAAAGAGGTAGTTTAAGTTATTAGATAGTGGGTCTTGATAATAAGTGCCATTACATATGTTAAAATGGAGTGGATTTTAAAGAGAATTTAGTACATGGTGTTTCCTAACACTGTCAGGCTGTATCACATGCAGTGTGTAACACTGGGTTCTAAAGGAAGGTAACAACAATGGCTCTTAAAACCTTAGAAGAAAATAAAATAGGAATGGCTATATCTTTACCAGTGAATACTGGTGGTTCTTCTGTACTAACTAAGGAGAAGGCATATTTAAAAAGAAAGGATGGGATATTTTTTTTTAAATAAATCCATATTATTAAAAGCTGTCCCATGTTGGTGATGCTTTGTGCTACTTACAGAAGTTGGCTGTAGAGTAACCCTGCTAGCTGAAGAGGATGTCTTCAGGGAAGAGGAAGAGTATCTGCTGTGAAACCAACTTGGTCTGCCAGCTGCAGGCCTCTGTTCTGGGGCCAGAAGGAAGGGAACATGATGGGAGCTGCCTTGTTCCCTGGCAATACTTGGTTGTCATTAGTGTGCCCTTGAAACTAGTTGACAGCGTAATTTATAGCCTAGTTCCTTGAGCACAGTTAAGCATTTAGCTTGCCAAGGGTTATCAAAGTGCATTTGCAGCACTTTTCTAGGTCTCTTATGTGCTGTTCAGCCCAGAGCTTTCAGTTTCTAAAACGATTGCCTAGATTATGGAGTAGATGTAGTACCACCCAGGCTGTGATATTTTTGATACTGGGAGAAGAGCCGCAGTCTGCGGTGGAAGACAGCTGACCCCTAGCCACTGCACGTGTGCGCTGGAAGGATTTGCCGTCTCTGGTAAACTGAAAGGGCCTTGCTCAGTCCCAAGATTTAAAACAACTTATTTACTGATATTTAAGATCATGCGCAGACAAATGGTTACATTATAGCACATTTTTGCTATGTTTGTGTTTTCAAGCTATTTTATTTATCTAAAGCAGGAATATTAGATCTGCCATGGCAGAATCTGCGTTGATTGTTATCATGAGGTTGACTTAGCTGTGATGTCCTAAATTTGTTACACCAGTCCACCTAGTAGCCAGAAACCATTTTCATGGCCTCCCTTTCTTTTTTTTTTTGCCCCCACCATTTTATGGAATCATGCGAGTTAAAAAGGGCAAATAACCTTTCATTAGATCATCCATTCTGTCCACCTGCCAATGCTGTTTGTTCCAACCAGCATATGTTGTAGTGTGTTTTCTCCTTCCTTTTAATTATGTCAAATGTCAGGGCTTCCTTTTTGTCTCCTGAGAAACTGTTTTCTAATATGGGAGGTTTTTCTGCCAAGAAGGTTGTTGGATATCCAACCTTACTCCACTGTTTGTAATTTCCTACTCTTGCACCTGGTTATTCTCCTGTGTCCTGAGAGATGTACTAAATATGAGTCAGACTCTGCTCTTTGGGGCATGTCTGCAGAACGTGCCTACCCTATTTTTGCTTGTGATCTTAGCACTATGCTCATTTTGAAGCTGGATTTTGTAAGAGCAGTTCTTCGTTGTTAACTCTCCCAGTTTAACCAACTGTAGGTTGTCTGAGCTTTTTATCAGTAGGATAATGCTTGAAGACATAGTTCAAACTCTTTGAACCATGTGCTGTATTTTCTTGACCCTAAAGAGTTAGAGTCCCACAGATAAAACAGACAAAAAAGAGGAGAAAAAGATTTAAGTTACAACTAGAGAAGTGTTTTTATATCCATCCAGCTTCCCGCTGTCTCAGTGATTGATTGCAATTCTGCGTGTTTTGTATGTTCAGAAGCCTCTTAGCCAAGAAGCAAAGGGAGAGCAGAACTCCCCTGCTCTTTTGTCAGGAGTAACCTGATTGCTGCTCTTTTCATTCTCCATAAATTAAGGAGAACCCCCATCATCAGAACTTCTGTTAGTTCTAGTGATTTCCCCCCCCCCCCCCACCTCGCACCCACTACCCCCC